ATGTGTACTACTGTTTCATGAGAAACTATTTGTTCTTTAAGCCTTCACCTTAAGTACAATTTAAAAAAAAAAAAAAAAAAAGATAACCTAGAAATTAACCTACCTTTCACAGAAAAGAGTAAGGAAAAATTATCTGCCTTATAATTACTTTGACACTGGGTAATAAGAAAAAAACCAATCTCCCTTGCAAGTTCATAAGAAGCTAGCCCTCATGGAGATTTCTACCATGAATTCACACTACCCACAAAGTCAGAAAAAAAACCCCAAGCCAAGAGTTTAGTTTGGTGTTTTGATGCAGTCCTGGGATGAGTGAGAGTGCCAAGAAATATGAGCTCAGTACAAAAGAAAAAAACAAAACAAAACATATATACATATATAAAATCACAAAACACAAAAACACACAAGTCACTATAACTGAAAATCAGCAAGCAGACACAACAGACAGCAAAATCAACCCTTGAAGAGACACCTCAGTTACTAGAAATAGTAAAAAAAAAAAAAAAAAAATTATGTTTAAAGAAAAATGATTGGATTACACTAGACTTAAGGAACAAGATATCTAAAAAATGTCAAAGCAAATATGATTTTAAAAAACCAGAACTTCTGGAAATAACAAATACAATAATTCAAAGATAAAACTCTATAGAAAGGACTCCAGTCTGAGGTTAGAGTTCTGAGGAAAAGAAAAAACTACATTTAAATGGAACCCAAGTCTTGGACGTATATCAAAAAGCACGTTGAAATTAGCATACAATCATTTCAGTCTGTTTACTGTCTCTAAAGTTTTTTGTTTTCTTTTAACCTTGGGAAAAAAAACTCTATAGTTTTAAAAGCAGATTCCAAAAATGCCCGTTGCCATCAAGTGGATTAGGACAGAACAGAACCACACTAGAGGGTTTTCAAGGCCGTAATCTTTACACGAACAGACTGCCACGTTTCTCCCTCAGAGCAGCTGGTTTTAGCGGCTTATGAGTTCAAACTACTGGTGGGTTCAAACTGCAAATCTTTCCGTACGCAGGTGAGCGCTTTAACCACTGCGCCACCAGGGCTCCATAAAAGCGGATTAGGTTAAACTAGAGACCCCGGTGGCGCAGTGGTTAAGAACTCGGCTGCTAACCAAAATGTCAGCAGTTTGAATCTACCAGCCACTCCTTGGAAACCCTACAGGGCAGTTTTTCTCTGTCCTATAGGGTCACTATGACTTGGAACTGACTTGACGGCTAAACTAAATAGAGAATCAATAAACTAGAAGGAAGATCTGAAAAAAATCAGGCGGAATTCAAGAGAAAGCAACAAAGAGGAGACATGGAGGATAGAGTGAGAACGTCTGAAATACATCTAATTGGAGTTCCAGAAACAGTTCCAGCCCTAATGGAACCCCTACAAAAAATCTTCACTCATGTGAAATAACCAGCATGCAGTCAAAGACAACCAGACACAGAGGCAAACAAGGCAACATTAAAAAGAGCCAGCTCAGACAGCAGAAAACCTGCACAGGTTTCCAAAGTCAGTCATGGGTTATAAAACAACTAGACTTTCTAAATTTAAAGAACCAAGAAGCTTGAAAATATCAACACTCTATAAAGTGAAGCATCAAATTTAAATCAACGGAAATTTGAATAATTACAATAAATATAAATGAACTAAATGATCAAGTAAAAAGATTAAGATTGTCAGACTAAATTTTTATATAAATTTAAAATTTTCCACAATAAAAAGTCTGAGTGACAAACACGCCTATGGTCGTGTTTTTTTCCAGCTATCTTCAACAGCCCAGATGAAAAGAGGTGGCAGTGAGTAAGATTTAATTTATCCAAACGTAAAAGAGTAAACTATTTAGAGATGCATGCTTATATACTAACAAGTTAAAGAAAAGGAAGTAATTCTCATAGAAGTCAGGTTAGTGACTGTATTTGGGACAAAGGATAAGGCTGTAACAGGGAGGGGAACAGGGAAGGCTTTTAGGGTACTGGAAATGTTTTCTTTCTTGACCTGCATGGTGCTTATACAGATTTACAATTTGTGATAATTTGCTAAAGTGTACATTTTTGTATTTTGAACTTGTACGAATGTTTATATTGTACATAAAAAAGGAATAAAGAATAGAGATTAACCCTGTACAATTATAATGAAAGTCAATTTGTTTTTAGCACTCTACTTATACGATGCGGCACATTTTTAAAAGCAAACACTATGACATCCCATGAAAGATGGGCCTATAGTAGTTTGTCTACTGATTTTATCAGTGCTAGCTAACAATTCTAAAATAAGACAATTTTTATTTCTCTACATTAAAGGTTGACTACATCTAGTAAAGCCAACATACTACAATTAAATATTCCTACAAGCTTTTTTAAATTATTTATTTTGTTTATTGTTGTAGTTTAAATTAAGCTTACATTTCAAGTTAGTCTCCCTTACAAAATTTTATACACACATTGTTATGTGACCCTAATTACTCTCCCCATACTGTGACAGCACACTCCTCCTTTCCAACTGATTCCCCATGTCCATTCAACCAGCTCCTAACCCTATCTGCCTTCCCATCTCACCTATGGACAGAAGCTTCCCCTTTAGTCTCTTCTTTCTACTTGAGCTACGATGCACACTCCTAAAGATTATCACTTTATGTCCCACAGTCCAGTCCAATCCCTGTCTGAAGAGTTGGCCTCAGAAATTGTTTTAATTCTGAGCTGATAGAGAATCTGGGGGCCATACCTTCTGGCGTTCCTCCAGTCTCAGTCAGACCATTAAGTCTGGTCTTCTTACTAGAATTTAAGTTCTGCACCCCACCTTTCTCCTGCTCCATCAGGGACTCTCTGCTATGTTCCTTGTCAGGGTGGTCATTGGTGGTAGCTGGGCACCACCTACTTCTTCTGGTCTCAGGCTGATGAAGTCTGTGGTTTATATGGCCCTTTCTGTCTGTTGGGCTAATACTTTCCTTGTGTCTTTGGTGTTCTTCATTCTCCTTTACTCCAGGTGGTTGGGACCAGTTCATGCATCTTAGATGGCCGCCTGCAAGCTTTTAAGACCCCAGC